ATCATAACATGCAATTACTGACTTATTTGTTTACTTGTTGACTACCTGTCTTCTCCGGATGACTGTAAGCTCAATGGAGCATCTCTTTTAATGAGCTATGTGTTACCCAGTGCCTAAAGCAGGGCGTGGCGTGAAACAGTCCCCAAACTCTGTGCTGGCTGCTGTGTCTCTCAGCAGGACTAGCCTGAGCCACTCTAACATGATTGGGTCCACGGGTCCCTTACTGCCCAGCAAAAAGCCCAAATGCCGAATTAGCATTCAAGGCCCTCCAAGCTGTGCTGTATCCACTGAGCTCTCCAATCCATTTTTAAAATTCTCTTACACCTGAGGTTTCCAAACTGGGGTTCATCTACACCTGGATGAGCACAAAACAGGATGAATGCAGCGCCTCTCCCCGGATCCTAGATTGTGCCAAATGAAGCAGAACTGCCATGGACATGTGGGGGCATCTTTCTAGGCCCTGCCCCTCTTCTCTGAGAAATGCACCCCTCCAACCCCTCCACAGTGTGTAGATCTCAATGCCATGTTTACCCTACTTGCATCTATTCCTCCATGACCTCTGTGGATGAAAGCAGGGTGGGGACCAGGCTTCTGGAACCTCAGTCCAGAACTGGGCCAGGCCATTAGCCTCTCTGCCAAGAACTTGGATGTGGCATGCCTGTCTTCCCCAGAAGACTCCGTTATGCCTTTTGGGGCCTGTGTGATGACAAGTGATTGAAAGCGCCGTTCAGATGCGCAGAAAGAAATAGAGGCAAGAGACAGAGAGAATGATGAAGCAGCTGCCTTTGTTTCTGACTGATTTCCCAGCCTCCACTGAGGCCCCGGGGGAGTTTCCGGCCTCCAGTGAGGCCCTGGTGAGGTCTACTGTTCCTGGCGGCTCCTCAGCCCCCGTAGCACCTCTGGTTCCTTAAAACAAATTTCCCCGCCATGTAAACAAGAGGAGTTCTAGGTTCCGTACACACAGTCTCTAAGATTACGTAATTTCTATTATTTTCTTGTAGAACAAATACAGACAAAGCAGAATGTAAAATTCACAAGACTATGAAGTATTAAGAATACACTCCTTTCTAAATAACATTCAAAAAAAGCAAAAGCCACAGAGGAAAAGATGGGTTCGACTCCAATAAAACTGAAACCTGTGGATTTTAAGACATGATACCAACTCAGGCAAATACCCCTCCCAGCCACCACTCCCTCCCGGGTGGTATATTTCTCTCTGAGGCCACACACTGGGGCGCACGCACACCTCCCTACCCAGTGCCTCTGGAGAGAGCGTAGGGATTGCAAAACACAGTCAGAGGCGACTTTAGACTTTCCAGTTATGCTTTTAAACTTTTTAATGAAAAATTATTATCTTTTGTGTAATTAAAGCTTCATGAGATCTCTCTTTCTTTCTCCACGTATATAAAACACAAGCCTTTGAAGACCTCCTGTTTACGATGGGACTGCTTGGCCGAGACCCACTAGGAGACAGAGGTTGACTACCAGTGCGAGATGCGCAGCACAGTGCGAATTCTCAGCACTAGGCCAGACGACTTACCTCGTTCCTGAGTATGCTTTTTCCCCACCATCCTCAAAATTCACTCACGTATGTTCTTCCCTTAATAAAGTTCTTCCCGCCCTGGCTGGTGTGGCTCAGTGGATTGAGCAGCGGCCTGAGAATCAAAGGGTCGCTGGTTCGATTCCCAGCCAGGGCACATGCCTGGGTTGCAGGCCAGGTTCCCTGTTGTGGGTGTGCGAGAAGCAACCAGTTGATGTGTCTCTCACACACCGATGTTTTTCTCCCTCCTTTCCCATCACTCTAAAAATAAATGAAATCTTGAAAAAAAATAAACTTCTTCCCTCCTTCAACACCCATCTAGAAGTGTCACTTCCTCTAGGAAGCTCTCCCTGATTGTACCAATCCTCACTGCTCTCCGCCTGCCCCGCTTATTGGTCTCTTATGGTACTGACTGTACCTTTCTCTGGGCACTCAGGACAGATTCCTAGGGTTCCTACTTATCTCCCTGAGATAGGCTGCATCTTCCCATCCAGCCAGCAAAAAAGAGCAGCATCTTAATGTCCTTTGTACCTAGCACAGAGACGGCATGGAGAAATGGACAGGCCTTAGAGTCAGACAGACCCACTATGTGACACAAGGCAACTGCCTTACCCTCCCTGGACCCATTTCTACCTGTGTTATTATAACCAACAATTAGATGATGGAGGTAAAGGGGCCAGGACAGGAAAAGGTGGTTGACAGAATGATGATCTGTCTTCTTAAGACGCCCTCATATGTCTACAGTGTTGCACAATTAAAAACAAAAAGCTTTGCCCTGGCTGGTGTAGCTCAGTGGATTGAGTGCAGGCCTGCAAACCAGAGTATCACGGTTCGATTCCCAGTCAGGGCACATGCCTGGGTTGCAGGCCAGTTCCCAGAGGGGGACACACCAGAGGCAACCATACATTGATTTTTCTTTCCTTCTCTCCTTCCCTTCCCCTCTAAAGATAAATAAATAAAATCTTAAAAAAAAAAACAAAAAACTTTAACAACCCAGAGAGGTAAGAAGGAGGGAGGAACAAACCCATTTTGAGGTTCAAATAACTGAGGTTCAGAGAAATGACAGAGGGAAGACAGGCAGCAGGACTTTAGAGGGAAAGAGAATAGGACCAGGGGTTAGAACATTTGGGCAGAAATGTCAATTCTTCTCCTACCCAGCTCTGGGAGCTTAGACTATTTCTTGTATGTTTGGCATGTCAGTTTCCCCATCTCAAGTGAGAGCCTTCCTAGGTGGTCTGGATCTCAAAGGATTCCTCAGCGCTGGTATTCTGGATTCCTGTGACCTGCCCAGGGTCCTTCCCAGCAGGACTGCAAAAGAGGGGTGCAAGTCCCAGGATGGAGACTCCCAGGAAACCAGCTGGGATTGGAAGACTTGATTTAAGAATCAGTTGCATTTTGATTCAGCCAAATTCCCCCCCTTCGAGCCTGGGGCTGGGTTAGTCATACCCAGAAAAGGGGAAGGGAAATGCCAGCTTCAAACGACATGTAAATATAAACACAAATGCAAAGCCAAACAGGAAATCTCAGGAAAGTCCAATCCAAAGGTCAGATTCTAACTTTGGGGGCAGTAAAGTGCCGGAGGGTAAAGCTGTGTCTGGGCGCCACAGGCCTGCTGTTGTAAAAATGAACCTTCCGCACGGAACCACACCAAAGTCCCAAAGGCAAAGGAGACCTGGTTTTGTCAGGACTGAATTGGGGCAGAGCTGAGCCCTGACCTGGGCCTGTTCTGGCCCCCAGGCCCATTCCAAGGCCTCCTCCACCCGCTCCAGGCCCATGCAACTACTTACAAGCACCAAGCCAGGCAAGAGCAGGTGCACGGGTATAAATGACCATTTCTGTCCCTGATGAAGGGTTCATAGTACAGCCTCTTCTCCTACTCTGGCTCTGATTTAACATTTTAATGAACAACCCAGAGAGGACTGTGAACTGTGACAACCCTAATGGTACCGGCAATGAACTCTTCCGGGTCATGAAATGTGAGACTGTAGAGACAAACCTCAGACTGCTGTCCCCTCAGGATGAGGCTCTGTGGCAGTTTCCCTTGTTAGCCTCCCAGGAAAATACAATTCATATTCTTAGGTGGTGGCCTCCAAACTACTGGTTCTGCCCAAGGAAGGAAGCCAAAGATCACTGGCTGCTTCTTATTTAAATTAAAAACTGTGCCCCTACTATGTGCAAAGCACTAGGCTGGACTCTGTGAGACAATGGACAAAAGAGACCCAGTCTGTCTAAAGAGGTCCATCAGTTAACCTGATCATCATTCCATTTACCAAGATGCATGCCTTACATGCATTGCCTCGTGTAATACCACAGCCCTGTAAGGTAAATATTATTATCTCCATTTTACAGATGCCAAAAGCAGGGCTCAAACAAATCAGGTCACATGCCCAAGCACACACAGCTGGCCAACTGCAGAGCCAGAATTTGAACACAGTCTGCCTCCCCCAGAGCTGGTGCTCTTTCCACAACCCTCTGTCACCCACGACAAAGGGACAGACACAGACTCTGACATGGGGGTTCAGCCCGCCAGAAGAAAGGAGGAAGAGAAATTTTCCAAGAGACTGATTCAGGGTATCATGAACTACTGAGCTTTGCGTCACCCACACAAGTAGGTGCTCAATACTCTTCCGGTGAAGGATGGAAGGTGAGAGGCATGGCTGAAGTCTAACACATCACCCAAATTCAGGGCATCCTCTGAAAGGGAGCTGCAAAGACAAACTTTTCTCCTTTGGCCCAGAGCTGCAGGGTGTCTGCCCTTGAATATTCCCTGCAGGGGAAGCCCCGGAAAGTGCAGCAGGTCGGAGAGGAATGAACTCCAAAGATTAGGGGAATGGGGTGGGGCAGCCTGTAGGGGTGAAAGAAAAGGCCTGGGACTCGCTGCTGGGAAAGACAAAGAGGAGAGGGGAGGGAGGTGGAGACTAGAAACTTGCCAACAGCCAGGCCAAGGTGAACCCCGTCTCCTGGCGCCTTCTCATTCGCATTCATTCCACAAACCCCGGCCAAATCTCTGAGCCAGCAGCCAGGGGGAGGGGGCCTCCCTGCAGCCAGGGAGAAGTAAGTTCATGACTGAAGCGGGAAGGCCTGCTTCCCAGAAGGGGAGTAACTTGGGAGCCAAGCTTATGGGGCTCTGAAGATGAAAATCCAAACAGATGTAGTGAGGAGCTGAGCAAACACATGCGATGGTGCAGGTCACCAAGAACATGGGAGTATGTCCCCCGATCTGTGCAGTCTGTCATCGAGGTGACCTCGAGGCCCCCCACAAACAGTCCCTCCAGCCCTCCCCAAGGCCTCGACGGTGAGTGAAGACGCGCATGTTCGAGATGCACTAGGTTCTCACAGATCTAGGGAGGAAGCAGGTTTCTGGGAAGTGGTAAAGGCCAACACAGCTCCGGTCACGCCAGTGAACTTCAAGGCGAGGCCCTGCTGGGACCCCGGACCTTTCCCTCCTCAGTCCCCTCACCTCCTCGCGCGCCAGTGCCGCCCCCCGGCACCGGGACATCTTGGCGGCGAAGGCAGCGGCCCCGGCCGGGGAGCTGAGGTCCTCCGCGGTGACGGCCAGGAACTCGGCGACGCTGAGCTGCTCCGGCATGGTGGGCGCGGGGTGGGGGCTCCGGGGCTGCGGGACTGCGGTGCAGGGCGCAGATCGCGCTTGCTACTCAGAGCTCGGATGGCCTCACAGCACTCCGCGGGCGCCGTCCGGGCCTCCGCACGCCCCACCCCCTTCGCGCCGCCCCGCCCCTGACCGCCTTAGCCGCACCGCCAAGTTCTCTCCTGTCCCCGGAGCCCCGGGCTGAGCTTCCCTACCCAGTCCTCTTCTCGGCCCCGCCCCCGCCTTCGAGCCTCTCCTCCCAGCTTTGCCAGAACAACCGTCGCAAGGCCCAGCTCTGGCTCCTCAGCCCCGCCCCCTGGTCTCCCTGCCCGGGAGCTCCGCCCCTGGCGCATTGCCCCGCCCCGGCCTCCTGCTGGGCTCCTCGGTCACGCCCCTTGTCTTTCGGCCCCGCCCCCTCCCTTTCTTTCGAACCTCCTCCGGCCCCGAGTCGCCCTCTGGGCCCCTCCAGGCTCCGTTCCCTTTCTGTCCGCCCCTTGGCCTCCCAAGTTCTTCTCTCTTCCCACCCGCCTCCCTTCGTTTCCATCCCCCTTGGCCACGTCCCTTAAGCCTCCACCCCCATCCCAATCCCCAAGCCCTGCCGGCATCCTTGTCCCGCTCTACCCGGAATCGCCCCACTTCTCTCTGGGTGCACGCACCAGCTGTCAGCCTCAAGTTCCCTGCGCCGTCGGGGCCGCCCACCCTCTCTTAGTCTCGGCCCCCAGCCGAGTGCCCCGCCTCCGGGGTCTGTGTAGTTAGGCGCCCCGGGGTAACTGTGTGATTTGGGAGAAATGACATCCCTTCTTTGCAGAATGGGAAGTCTGAAGCCCATTCTGTTATAATGTTGCGAGGAAAAAAATCTAACACATGCGTGTACCCAGTAAGTGGTCGGTAACCCTCTCCTTCTTACCTGGCCTTCTCACCCACTCCCTTCTTTCTTCCTGGGCCTAGTCTGGGCCTTTCACACCTCAGCTCCCCCTCACTGTCCCTACCAGGCTAGAGACAGTCACTCCTAGCCATGCACTGACTTCTTCCTCTTGGGAACCACCTATATCTCTGGGTGGATGACGGATGGGGTCAGAACAGAAATCGACTTTGATTTAGTTCTGGGCCCTGAGGCCTCTTGAAAGGATTCCTTCCAGTGAATTATCAGGGAAGCACCGAGGTGAAGAATATTAGCCTTGGAGTGTGACACATCGAAGTTCTCATCCTGGGGCTGCTGTTGACCAGCTATGAGCAGCCAGGGAAACTGCTTGCGTCTCTAAGGCTGAATGTCTTCTTAAGATGGCCCAATCGTATTTTACCCCATAAGGTGATTGAGAGAATTGTATAGTTCGCATAAAAAAGAGAAAACTTGAAAAGATATACACATTATGAGTAATTTATTTTTCTTTCGGTTAATTGTGCATCTTAACTTTTTTATAAGGAACATAACACTACTTGTGTAATAGAATTAAAAGTTGAAAAAAGATGTACAATCTGGGGGAGGAGACAGGACAGATGTGCTGTGAAAGACAACTCTGCTTTACCCCTCAGCCACCTTTCAACCCACTCCAGTCTGTTTTCAACCCCAACTAACCAGAATTAGCTCAAGGTCAACTAGGATCTTCTCTTATACAGTATAACAAGCACTCATTTCTCTTGTTTGACTTTGTTCTTCCTCTGTATTTTTAAAAGATTTTTTGCTATTTATTTCTTTATAGGGGAAGGGAAGGAGAAAGAGAGGGAGAGAAACATCAATGTGTGGTTGCCTCTCATGCACCTCCTACTGGGGACCTGGCCCACAACCCAGGCATGTGCCCTGACTGGGAATCGAATGAGTGACCCATTGGTTTGCAGGCCAGCACTCAATCCACTGAGCCACACCAGCCAGGGCTGTATGTATCTTAAATGCTGGAGTCATTGGGAGCCCTCTGCTGGGCACTTTGCTCTTCTCACTCTACACAGGCTTGGACACCATCCAACGCCACCAGCTTCCTCTACACCATTAATGTTGATGTTTTCTGTATTAGTTTCCTCTTGCTGCTATAACAAATTACTGCAAATTGGTGGCTTAAAACAACACATTAATTCTCTTATGGGGCTGGAGGTCAGAAGTGTGTCTGAAATGTGTTTCACTGCATTGAAAGCAAGGTATCAGCAGGGCTGTACTCCTTCCAGAGGTTCTAGGGGAGCATCCATTTCCTTAACCTTTTCTAGCTCTAGAACTGCATTCCGTGCATTCTTTGGCCTGTGGCCACCTTCTTTTGTCTTCAAGGGCATCTTGCTTCTGCAAAGGCATCATATTGCCTTCTTTTGTGTGGTCAAATCTTCCTCAGCCTCAGTCTTACAAGCACATTTGTGGTTACACGTAGGGTCCACCTGGATAATCCAGGATAATCTCCCCACCTTGAGATTCTTAAATTAATCACATCTGCAAAATTCCTTTTGCCATATGGGATAACATCCATAGGTTCCAAGGGTTAGGACTTGGATATCTCTGGGGGCCATGACGGAGCCAACCACACCTTCTGAATCTCCATTTCCAGCCCGGCTCATTCTCTGGTTTGAGCTCTGTGTATCCAACTGCCTCTGGGATGATTTCACGTGGCTATCTCACAGACAGACACCTCGAACTTGACATGTCCAAAACGGAACTCGACATCTTGTACCCTGGCCCCAGCTTCCTTGTCTGTACCTTGGTGGAAGGCACCACCATGCACCACCTGAAAGTCATTCTCGCCATCTCTTTCCACCAACCTCCACTCAGTCATCGTTTTATCATTGCCTCCTAAATGTCTCACATATGTGACCGCCTTCTCTGTCTCCATGCCAGCCCTAATCTGGGTCACACCACCTGCTCACTGGTCTCCCTGCTCCCAGTTTTGCATATGGGATCTATTGTTCTCTTGCTTAAAACTCTTCAATAGTTCCCATTACTGTCTGGATGGAAGATTAACTTTTGTTCATGGCTACCTGGTCCTGCATGACCTGATGCTCCTGCCATTTACAGCCTTATCTCTCACTCTTCCCTCCCTGCCATGACCTGTGCCCCCTCACTGTTCTTCCCTCTGCCCATGACACTCCCCCACCTCCTTTCGACTGGGCTAATCAGATGTCAGTTCCTCCAGAAAGCCTTCTCCAGTAACCTTCTAGCCATCTAGTATCCCCTGCCACAGCTCTCTCGCTCTCTCTCTCTTTCTTTAAAGATGTACTTATTTATTTTTAGAGAGAGGGGAAGCAAAGGAGGAAGAGAGGGAGAGAAACATCTCTATGTGTGGTTGCCTCTCATGCACCCCTTGCTGGGGACCTGGCCTGCAACCCAGGCATGTGTCCTGACTGAAAATCAAATCACAACATTTTAGTTCTCAGGCCAGCGTTCAATCCACTGAGCCACACCAGCCAGGACTCACTCACTCTCTCTCTCTCTCTCTGAATATTTTTTTAATTTATCTGATTTTAGAGAGAGGGGAAGGGAGAGAAAAAGAAAGGGAGAGAAACGTCAGTTTGAAACATCATTCTGTTGCCTCTTATTTGTGCCCCAAACATGGACTGAATGAACTCTCACCAACAAACCCTGAACCCAGGCATGTGCCCTGACCAGAAATCAAATCAGCAACACCCTGCAGACCAATGGTTAATCAACGAAGCCACACTAATCAGGGTGCCACAGCACTTCTCATTGTGGACAGTATTCACCTGTTTGCTGGTCTGGGTCTCTGGCCTACCTATTTACTGAGCACTTACTATGTACCAGTCACAGTGCCAAGGGCTATACAAACAATAACTCACTCAGCCCTGGCTGGTATGGTTCAGTGGATTGAGCTCTGGCCTGTGAACCAAAAGGTTGCTGGTTCGATTCCCAGTCAGGGCATATGCCTGGGTTGTGGGCCAGGTCCCCAGTCAGGGGCATATGAGAGGCATTGAGAGGCAGCTGATTGATGTATCTCTTGCTCATGGATGTTTCTCTCCCCCTTTCTCTCTCCCTTCCCCTCTCTCTAAAGGTAAATAAATAACATCTTTAAAAAACAGGCAGTGGCTCACTCAGTATCTATAACAACCCAATGAAGCAGGTAATATCCCATCTCCATGTTGTAGGTGGGAAAACTAAAGCTCAGAAAGGTTGATGCTTGTGAAGTCAGAATGAACAAGCAGTATAACCAAGACTCCAACCCAGGTCTGCGCAACTCCAAAGCCTTTGTTTCGTTAGTTTCATTTTATTATCAGTCACTGAACTAGCTTCCTAATTAGAAAAGATTGCCTCTTCTAAATCAAGTAGATAGAACTCTTCCACATAGTCTCTCCTATAATAAAATGTGCCACCCACCAGAGGCAGAATTCTGTCGTCATGTCTGCAGGGCAATTCCTACACAGTCCTTGATATTTCCTAAGGCAGCTGCTTCAGTGTTGACCTCGGCACCGGTTACTCAGACCGAGACACACACACACAGCTTGCTGACGGCGAGCCCTTTTCTGAAGCATAAGTTTTATCTCAAGGTTTTGGGGAGAAAATGGGAAAGCAAATGGTATATAAATGACAGTATTGTATGGAAATAAGGTAAACCCAGGTCAATATCACAGTAGGTTACACATTTTTTTAGGAGTTTTCAGAGAAAACATGTATCTTCAAGGAAGTTTCCAGTTGCTTCAAGCTGTTTCCCCTATGTAAACACGCACTTAATTTTTAAAATTGATTTTAAAGAGAGAGGAGAAGGGAGAGAGAGAGAATCATTGATTTGTTGTTCCATTCATCTACGTACTCACTGGTTGATTCCTGTATGCTCCCTGACTGGGGATCAAACTCACAACCTTGGTGTATTGGGAGGATGCTCTAACCACCTGAGCTACCCAGCCAGAGGCTATAAACATTCACTTTCCTAGGGCTATTTCAAGGAGAGAGTTTGAGACCAACTGCGTATAAAATAGATGGTCTTTAGGTCCCTGGAAGAGCCTATACAAATCTGGCTTTCTGGAATTTCATTGTTCATGCAACGAACACTTATCAAGCAGCTCCTGAGTGGACGATGAGGAGTGGGAGGCTGTGGATACAAGGACGGGTGACATATGGAGCACTTAGTTCCCAAGGACCTTGTACTCAAATAATCATAAGATGCAAATTGTAAATGCCCTTCAAGAACACCT